GGCCGCTGTGTTTTTCGTTGCCACTGATGATTCAAACGTGAGTTTTGGGCAGTAGAATAGCACGTGTTTGTTTGTCATTTCTCCGATCACAAATGTAAACAGAGTTTTATGTTTACGCGGCGCGATGCAATGCAACGCAACACGTAAAAAGACAGTATAAGTCATTATAATCAGTAAATATGTCCCCACTGGATGCAACAAATGCCTCGTTTGTAATGGGTTTTAATGTTTATGTCTCGTTGCTCCGGCCGGGACACAGCATCAACAGTATGTGAGGGGTGTAACATTTCCATCTCACGCTTGAGGAATTCGGCCAATCACAATGCACTGGATAGCTGGCCAATCACAGCACACCTCGCTTTTTCAGACCGATGAGCTTTGTAAAAATCGACGTGTTTCAAAAAGGCGGGGCATAGAGGAGAAACAATAATGTACAGTATGTGGAAAATAATGTGTTTTTTTACTTTAAACCGCATAAACACATTTCATTACACCAAATACACAAAATAATGTTTTTAGCAGCGTCATATGACCCCTTTAAAGTGCTACAAATTGAAAAAATACTATTATCTTTAGTATTCACTGATATCTTACGCTTTGTAGGCCTATAGCCAATAGATTATTTAATTGAAAATACTTTCAAAACGTAGGCCTATTTCGCATTTACACGGCTTTAGCAGTCGTCCGTGCGCAGCGATTCCAAATGAATGAGAATACTTCAAATAATAGAGTTACCGATTTGAATCAGTATGACAAATGCTTCACTGAACTGAATTAGCCTACTGAATCAACATCTGAGTCACCTTCTGAACTGAAATAATTGTTTGGTTTGTACGTTTTTGTCATACAGACTGGCTGTTGATAGGACACAAAGGACACATTTTTGCAATTTCTCTGCAATATATTGGCAGTTTTTTGCAACATAAGGAGTATAGTGAGGTAAGACCTCAAGCTAGAAGGTTTTGTTTGTTTGTTTCTGTTGAGATTTTGCAAGATTTTGACCATATCAAAACAAGGATGCTTCTCAAACAAGGATGTTCCTAATTTGTGTTTTTAATTTCCAGCTTTGTGTATCTGTAACATGGATATATTCTGAATGGCCATTCAAGACTTCTGAAGCAAATGTTCTCTCAGACTAGATTTCTTCACGGTAGGCTACTTACCTAACCTAAAGACTATACTAGTGTAAATACAGCCTAGAGCCAAGAACACTCGATATTCAAGAATAATCAATGCAGTAACATCATAATAGCATTTATTGCATGTTTTAGGCTACAATAACATAAGCTACTTGAGGACATTTATCCAGGCTTGCATAAAACACAACAGTAATGACCTGACTGTGAAATGATTTAGGAACTAATTCAAATCCCACATCATGAACCTAGAATAGCCAACATCTCCTTATTTTGGCAGGACTGCAGAATATAAAATGACTCAACATAATGAGTAGTCTGTCAGTGACAGCTGACAAGTCAGACCATCACTACTCAGGACGGGAGCCATTTGTCAAAACCTTGCTCATGTGACATACAAGTCTTATGAAACTGGGTGCACTGCTGTGTGTAAAATGAAGATAAAATTATATTTGTGTGCCTTGACTTTGTGTTTATGAATCCATCTGTTTCTTAAATTTAGATCTCTTCCATGAAGAAACAATAATTTGTGCTGAGGGCAGTAAGAAATTAGAGAATGTAAATGTCCTCAACCTGTTTGTCTGGTTGCACATCACAACATTTTTTTGTGTGTGTGTTTTCTTGAAAGCCTCACAGGCACATAATTTGCAGAATCCTATTAAACGTGGTGGTTCAGGGTTTTCCCCTAAGGTAAAGATAAGAAAACTGCTCCTTTTTTCATTTTGGCTTTCTCAAACCTATATAGCCTACAATGACTCCAGTTTCAAACAGGGCTGTATTTTTGGAGATAATTAAACGTGTGAAATCAAAAGCGTTTAATTACTTACCACCAGTGTTCCTGCCAACACCATCCAGCGGTTAAATCACATCAGTTACAGGGTGTGATTTACATCAAGTGATCAAATTTGCCTAGTGCAAGTATTACCTTAATTGCTTCTGTTGAATTATGGGTAATGTAGTTTAAAACAGAATTTTAAACATAATTGAGGATATTGTGAACACAGAGATCTCCTCAGAGAGCCCCTTACAACTGAATATGTGGAGATAATTGGGATATTAGAAGGAGTTCATAAAAAAGATTAATGTTCAAATCTTTACAGAGATCTTGCTTTGAGAGCATGTGTCCAGAATATTCCCCTCTGGAGAAGTTTGTTCAGTCTCTCCCCTTCTTTTATGTTATTCTCCATAGTTTTAATGATCTTCTGGGTGTCTGGATTGAATCTGTGGGCAGTTTCAGAAAGCTTGGGTTTGTTACTCAACCATTGTCAATTCATAATATCTTTTCACCAAACAACAGCATTCTACTTCCTTTTCTTTTGGCCACAGATAAGAGAGTGTTTGCAATTATACTGGTTTTCATTGTACATTTTGCTGATGGCAGACAGACACTCTGTGACCTCTTTTGATTGTTTTGTGTTTTGTAAGCAGTTCCCCGAACTCTTATTTCCTCAGCTGCTCATTGTACCTGGAGGCACTATTTTTATCTCCCAGCCATTTACCAGAATTGCATAAGCAGCCATTTCTTCTAATAGAAACTAGTGCACTGGTGGGACAGATTCAGCTTAATGCATTTTAATGTAGATATAGTTTATTGCATCTTCCTTTTGGAAAACAGTGCATATTTTGTCCAATAATAATAATAATAATAATAATCAAATAAACTACAACTTTTAGCATGTACAGCTTGACATGGAAATGACACAAACAATAAAAGTCTTAGAATTTGAATACAGATTTAGAATTTATATAAAGCAATAAAGCTGCTGCCACTTTCAGTCAATCCTTTAAACTGTGTGGCCAGAAATACCTCTATTTTTGCAGTATGCTGTAAAAAAAAATGTATCAGATAAATGTCTTTTTACAATGCCTGTAGCTAATAAACTTGTTCTCACCATGCAAGAGCACAAAGTAAAAAAGGTGCCAGTAAATGCACATAAAAATAAGCCTTTTAGTACTGCTTCCTGTTTGATTTTGTTGAGTCCAATCATAGCAGGAGGAGATTTCAGAGATTACAGATGACCTGTCAGTGCTCAGTCTAAATGAATAGGATTTAAGTGACAGGGACAGACAGAAGTCAGTCTGCACTTCCAGTTCGACGTCCGTCATTCTGCTTTGGATCTCTTACAGCTATATGACAAATCATGGCACCCAACTGAGATAAACGTAGACTTTAAATTACTAAGATAATACTTCCAATTCGGTGATTCCCTGGAGGAAGATAGAGTTCAATTTAGATTAATTAATATTTCAACACATCACCTGCCTTGATGTGCTCAGGATTGATGATTGAAAGTTAAAAGTGAAAGAGTGAAGGCAAGTGAGCTGTGATTTATAGCTCATAAGATCACAAACAGCACAGTCAGTCTCTGAGTTTCGCTGACCAGGGTACAAAAAAATGCAAAGCACACCACTGTAGAAGTCTGTAGAAGTTTTATAATAATTTGGTTCATTAGAATATATAAGAGAACGTAAATGTTATACTCCATGTTGAGCTGATGTGGACTCCTTAGGGTGTGTGTGGAGGCCTTTAAAGAGAAGGTCTGTTTGACCTTTCTGTTTAGCTACTGTAGATGGTTAGATGCATTATTAATGTTCAACTCTGCTGAAGTGGACAGTTATGAAACGATATAGAGAAGAAAGATGATGGCATTCACTTGTGAGAAAGTGAGGCTTCTAGTGTACATCCAGCTAAAAACTCTGATTACGCAGTTATTGGATTCATCCATTTTAGTGTGAAAAGTGCCCTGTTTTGATGGGCTATGTCAGTCTTCCATAATTTCCATTGCTCTGCTGCCCATTGGAAAATGTTTTTGCACACAGATTCCTCTTAGCTCTTAAGACTTAATGGAGTTCTCAGTTATATTTAAGATGTTTCTCTTAAAAATACTTAAGACACAAATGATACAACAGTTGACATGCAGTACAGTAAAATTGATACTTGTGGACAACTAAGTGCAGATAATTTGTTCGTAGAATTGATAGTTCATATCAAAATACATTTTTCAAATCTGAAACTCCATAGAGCAGTTGTTCTCAATCTTGTTGACTCAAAGGCCCTTGATTGTCCAACACAATAATCAAAAACTGTATGTTATTTGATAAGAGTTAACAGGAGGTATGATTATTTTAATACATTACAGGGTTATTATCATGAACTAAAACTAAAAATATTAAAACATTTAATTGAAATTAAGCTGAAATCAATTATAAATATTAGATCAAAAATAGAAATGTTGTCTAAAAACTCAACTAATTTAAAAAGCTGAAGTGAAAGCTCTAGAATTATCAACTGGAAATAATTAAAAACTGAACAAAATGTAAAACTGAAATAAAAACAAGTCAGACCTAAATAGTGATATTTAAAAAGAACAAAAAGTGAATAAAAATGACAAACACACGTAACAAAATTACTAAAATTGTAACTAAAATTAAAACTGAAAATTTCAAGTAGATGTATATAAAGTGGCATTGCAAAGTCATTAGCCATGGACAAACTTTATCTAATTGTTTATCAAGGCAGCCCATTTTCTCTTTCAGTACACCTTCACCTGAATTAATTCCCTCTTCTCGAGTGTCTTTAATGGATAAATGACGTGTGTCAAGTGCCAAAAGAGAATTTTGCCTGTGTAACCATCGGATTAAATCTCCTCTGATGGTTTGGATCTTGATTAAAACACGCTTTTAACCCACTTAGATTTATCACAATTAGCCCATGAGGTCCAGTCAGGGTGTGCTGGTCACTGTCACCAATCTGCAAACCAAGTCCCACAGCGCACCTACATTTGTCAGAGCCAAGATGAACGGCGTGTTGCGGAGGTTAATTAAAAAACCCGCTCTGTATAAAGCTCTTACGACGCATCAACGCTGTGACAATCCAGTGTGAAACAATCCTACAAGCAGCTCTTGAATGGCCTCTGTGGTGGATAAGGAGGGGTAGTGAGGTGTGGAAAAGGGAAATTATTTTGTCCTGCATTGTGCGTTAAACGGTCAGCCATGCGTGGAGTTGATAACAATGCAGTGCCCAGAAATTTGTGAGTGTGATTTGAGAGCATCTGAACAAACTGCATCCTGGCAAATTCAATCAGGAGTTCAAAGACCTCAGGTTTAGGCAGCATGTACGGTGCAAATTTAATATAGATTTACAAATAACATTTTAGACCTTGTGATACCTCCAACGGTGATACCTTATAATTTGTAAAGACTGGTCTGCAGATATGGCTCAGCTGCCTCCTTCAATGTACAGCTGGGATTTTTTAAAAACCCATTTGAATAGAGGTTCAAATCCTTGGCCTTGCTGAATGAAACATGAGCAACAAAAGACAACAGACCCATTGTAATCAGTGATACTATCTACACTGGATGCACTGTGGATCCTCTGCAGTGAATGGGTGCTGTCAGAATAAAGAGACCAAACAGTTGATAAAAACATCACAATAATTCACAAGTAATCCACATGTTTCCAGTTCATCAATTAACATTTTGTAAAGTAAAAAACTGAGTGTTTGTAAGAAACAAATGCATCATTTATGTGTTTTGACTTAAACCAGTACTTCTGGCCAATATTCGAATCCATAATCCAAAATAATGCTTCCTCCAGTTAACAATTAGAACTGGTTTTGGATTTTCACTTGTAAATGGTGCTTGATCTGTGCATATTTTTACTGTTAAGCTAATCTGTTCCAATAAAGAAGCAAACACATCTACATTTTGGAAGGCCTGAGGGTGGGTCAATTTTCAGCAAATTAAAATTTTTTGGATGAACTATTTCTTTAAAGTTGACATGAAATGGAAATTGAGATTGTCTTCCCTAATTGTGACACATGAAAGAGAAAAAGCTTCTCGAATAAGAAAAAAAGATGTAGGGCAAGACTTGATTTTGTCAATTGAGAATTGGGACGTTAATGCTTTTAATTGAAGCACATGCTTAAAAAAAATGATGGGCAAGGTTAAATTGCTTATAATAAACACAGCAACATTCCACAAAAATATCAGGATTATCTATTTTAATTTCACGGTGACTTTAAATATGAGTAATAAAAACAGCAATGGTTGCTTTAGCAAACCACACTAATTAGTTGTTCTGTATTGAAGGTTAATAAGCTTATTGTGATCTAAAAGTCATAATGAATTGGTACTTTACAAATTCAAAACATTATATAATATAAAGTGGCTCGACTCTTATCATTTCCAAGATTAAATGCCTGCAGTAGATTTTTTTTGTTTTATCTTTTAAATACGCATTAAATGGCCTGTCCTGATGAATAATTGATGAAAAAACCACCTAATTAGTTTCCATGCCCTGTTTTACCCAACATAAAAGCCAACCTTTCAGCAATTCAGAGGGTGCCACCAAAGGGAATAAGGTGTTTTGCTCTGTGATTGACAGCAAAACTTATCCAGCTCCACACATTTATGAACAAAGGGATTGAGGTTTTTAATAAAGTGTAATTAATTTAATCTTTGTATT